TATGTCGTTCGCGTCGTGAAGTTTCAGTGTTGAAGTTTTTATGTTTTTCAGACATTTTTTAAAAAAAAAAGTTTGTGTAGTGAAAATAAATAAATAAAACTTGTTACAAGAACGAAAGTTTTTTTCCAGCTTTTATACATTGTGAAAATGATTTAATCTCAAATTGTTAGTAGGATTCGTAGAGTAGTGGTCAGCGTTCTCGACTAGCGTTGCGTAGTCTGAGGGTTCGAGCCCCAGCAGTGTTAGGTTTTTTCCGCCATAAAAATTAATTTAAGTAGGCATAGGTAGGTTATATAAAGAGAAAAGGGTGAAACAAAAAAATAAGTTGGTTGAGAAAACAAAAAAAAAATTTCATTTAACTAAATTTTTTGTTTGCTTAAAAACAATAAGTTAGTTGTGCAAAACAAAAAATTTGGTAGACCGAACAAAATGATTCAACGAAAAAATTTAGTAGCCCGAACCAAACGGATTAGTTGCACATATATCAAATAAAAAATTTGGTAGAGAGAACCAAACTTTGGTAGATGATACTAAACATTTTTCTCAGTGTGGAAATGGAAGTAGGAATGGAAATTGGAAAAAGTAAAAATGGAAGTGGGACTGGAAAATGGAAAAAGTAGAAAAGGAATGAAAAGTAGAAAATGTGGAAATGGAAGTGTTAATGGAAATTGGGAAAAGTGGAAATGAAAGTGGGATTAAAAAAATGAATTGTAGAAATGGAAGTAAAAGTAGAAAATGGAAAAAATTAAATGGAAATTAGAAAAAGTGGGATTGGAAAATGGAAAAAATAGAAGTGGGAATGAAAATTAGAAAATGTGGAATTGGAAGTGTTAATGGAAATTGGGAAAAGTGGAAATGGAAGTGGGATTGGAAATTGAGAAAAGTAGATATGGAAGTGGGAGTGGAATTTAGAAAAAGAAAAATGGAAGTGCTAATGTAATTTGAAAAAGTGGAAATGGAAGTGGGAGTGGAAATGGAAGTGAGATTAGAAAATGGAAAATGTAGAAGTGGGAATGAAAATTAGAAAATGTGGAAATAGAAGTGGGATTGGAAATTGAGAAAAGTAGATATGGAAGGGGGAGTGGAATTTAGAAAAAGAAAAATGGAAGTGTTAATGTAATTTGAAAAAGTGGAAATGGAAGTGAGATTAGAAAATGGAAAATGTAGAAGTGGGAATGAAAATTAGAAAATGTGGAAATAGAAGTGGGATTGGAAATTGAAAAAAGTTTAAGTGGGAATAAAAATTAAAAAATGTGGAAATGAAAATGGTAGTGGAAATTGGAAAATGGAAAAAGTAGAAGTGGGAATGAAAATTAGAAAATGTGGAAATAGAAGTGGGATTTGAAATTGAAATAAAGTTTAAATGGGAATAAAAATTAGAAAATGTGGAAATGGAAATGGTAGTGGAAATTGGAAAATGGAAAAAGTAGAAGTGGAAATGAAAATTCGAAAATGTGTAAATAGAAGTGTTAATGACATAAATATAAATTTATGACATAAAGGGCCTAAAAAGAAAAAAATTTTAGGTTATGTTTATGATAAATTTTCAATGTTTAAGTTTTCATTATATAAATCAGAAATATTCAATAAAGACTGTTTTTAGTTTTACACGATTAAAAATTAGCTTCTAATCAAGGTAAAACTATAATAAACATAACCTATAATTTTTTGTTTCTTTTTTTTTTTGAAAAGAAAACAAATATGCGAGTATATATGAAACACGTTTTCAAAGTGCTTACTCACGTTTTTTTTTTATATGGAAAAAGAAAAAAAAATTGTGTCTTTAGTTCAGTGAGGTTTAATAGAAATATTTACAGTCAATCAAATTAATATTCCAATTCGTGCCTTGACTTATAAGATTGACGATGATGATGACCATCAGACGTATAGCACATGTCAGTATCATCACAATATTTCCGCATAGACGGACATACATTATTTAGCATTTCCTCGTATACAAACCACAGTGACAATCTTAACTTGGCAATGTGCCCGGAAAAATGAGATTTTATCAGTTAATTTTACCAGTTATCACGAATTATATACTAAACAAAGCTATTGTCTCTAAATAATATAAAGGAAAAAAAAATATTGCTCTTGTCTCGTACTCTTTATTTAAAAATATTCTGTTTCTATTTTCACTTTCACTTACAACATTTTTTAAAATCTTTAATAATAAATTATTCAAAATAATTTAATTTTAAAATCCAAAAATAAATTTTTTAACTCAGAAATATACAAAAATTATTATAAATTTTTCAAAATCGTGTTTTGGAACTGAATTCAAAAATATTTAATAACAATCTTTCTGCTGAATTGTGCTCGTCCAACACAAAAAGAAGCAATTATGCGACATTTACAAAAATTTAAAAAAAATTTTTAAATAAATAAATAAGTTTACAAAATATAAAAAATATATACATACTGAACAAACAGTTTATCGAATTAAAATGTTGAATATGTGATTGAAATTCTCTATTTATATTGGGCATCTAACGGTTTTGTATAGAACGTGTGTGACTGAAAATCAATATAGTGGAGATATTTTTTTTAAGCCTTTATATTCATTCTATAAATAGGTTTCGTACGATTTTAATATTCAGAATGAATTGTCGGCAAGTGTCAAAACTATCTACTTGTATGTTTTTTTTTCAGTAAAAAAAAAGAAAAAAATATATGTTACCGTAACATCATAATGTTCCATGAAAAAAAAATATACTAAAAAAAACCGTTACATTTATTCAGTATTTTATTATTAAATTAAATTGGCCAAACATATATTTTGTTTTTCTCCTACTAAAGTTGATAAAAAAAATTTTTTTTTTACAATTTTTATTTAAAAAAAGATAACAATTATTTATAAACTAATTAATATTTTTCAATTCATTTGAATATGATTTTTTTAAAAATAATAATCACGGTTCTTTTTAAATCGATTTAACCTAAAATTTCTGGCACCTGAGATTTTCTTCATTGATTTCGATTCTAGATCCTAAATATATTTTTTTTTTTTAATAAAAACGAATATTTTCTGTGGAGCCGTTTTTGAAAAAAGTCGATTTGAAAATTCAAAATGACAAAAATTTAATTTTTCTTTAAGAAATATTCATTTAAAAAAAAAGTTTTATCAGGTGGAATTTGTGAATATTAAAAAAGGAATTTTTTATGTTTTTATCAATTTCCTTTACAATTAATAATTTACTAGAAAAATGAAAAAAAAATAATATAATATAATTTTGTTGTACGGCTCATTCAAATATAAATTCAAGTTTGTCAGATACTAAAGTTAAAAAGCATATATTAATTATTCAAATAAAGTCTTAATTTACTTGTTATAATTTCTTATCTTTTTATCTTATACGTGTTTTATTTCCAAATAACCTATCAATTAATAACAGCTATGACTTTGTGCTCCCTGAATGCTTTTGCCATCTGACGGCGGCAGGACGTAATGAACCTGTCATTATATTATATCACCTTTAGATTAAATCAGTTTAAAAAACACCGTGATAATAATAGTAATAATATTAATGAAGTTCAATTAAATTAATTAAATCAACATAAACAATAAAAAATAATAATAAAAAATTATAATTAATTGTATATTTAATGCTTAAAAATTATATGAAATTATCATAAGTAATTTTTGTTTTTGTATTGCCATTAGGGTACACAGAAAAAAGTAAAATAATATAAAAAGAATTTTCTTTTTATTACAATGGAGGGAAGAAATTCTTGTCTGAGGTCTTGAAATATATATTGTATTTATACGAATTTTAGAAAGTTAAATGTCTGACTATATTTCGAACATTTCTACTTGCACTGCACTGGCTCTAGGGGGTCTGACAAACTTCCTTTTTTCTACTCGCAATATTATATTATATATATTATAGACAATCAGTACTGATGTTTTTATTGTTACTTATTTTTATCTTCATTGTAAATAGATAAGTAAATTTATTAGATTTAAAAAAAAATGATTCTTTTGTTTAACAGTTTTTTATCATTAACACAGACTTAAAACTTCACCGAGTACTCTTTTAAAACATTTATTATATACACTAGTGCCTGTTATGGTCATTTTGATTGTAGGCTATGTTATTCTGCAAATAAAAAAAAAAAAAAAAAAAAATCAATTTTTTTTAACAATTGACTACCATTTATATCGATTTTTTTTCTTCACTGTAACTTCGAAGGTTACTATTTATATATGATACGATCAAATTTATTATCATCTTATCGTATTCCTGTTTTTCTAGAATAAATATGCGTATGCCATATATATTTCACATAAACCTGAATCACGCATTGAGTAAAATTGTAAAGATTTTTTTGCTTTTGTAATTTAGAAAATTTAAAATATTTAATATTAATTTTTTGTGTATACATAATGGAATTTTTAATTATTTATTATTCATTTTATTTATTATTATTATTATTATTATTATTGTTACAAAAATAAATAAAATAAATATAACGTTAAATATTAAAAATGATTTTTAATTAAAACTTAATTTTTTTTAAATAATAATTTTTTAACTTTGTTTTATAATTTTTTCTATAATTTTTCTGCGTAAAAAATTATTTTATTTGACTTATTTAAATTATTTTTAACAAAAAGACATAAATATTTTTTAAAATTAAAAAAAAAAAGTATTTTTTACTACAATGAAAAAATCATAATTTTTTGCTGTAATTTAAACAAACATTATTTTAAGGAATAAATCAAATTATAATAATATTATGAATCAAATTATCAATGTATTATATGTTTTATTATTTGTTTTAGTTCAAAAAGACATATTTTCTGAATGTTTAAACAATAACTATATACATACAACAATCAATATTGATATTATTTTGAATTGACAGACATTATTTGTATGCGCGATAAATAATTTTAATTTTTTATTTTATGTTATATATATATGTATTCAAATTTTATTGATAATTCAAAATTTTATGAACTTAAATGAACTATTTTTTATTGTTGTTTTTAGGAGATAATTATTATTTCCCGTGGATGATGGAAAATAAAAAAAACCTGTTGCTTTAAAAGCACTTATTTCAAGTTTAACACACAGAGTATTGTCTCAATGCATTGTCTCAAAAATTTCAATGAGATATATTGGTGACGCCAAACACATCCGCATATATTGCATCGACTGCATAGTAAGTAAAATAATAAACAAAATTTACTAAAGTAATCAACGAAGTTTACTTAAAATAATAATATTTCAATATATTCGAAAAAATTAAGAGAAAAAAAGATTAGTAAAAAAAGTTACTAAAAAATGTTACTAAAAAAAATTACTAAAAAATAGTTACTTTAAAAAGTTACTAAAAAAATTACTAATAAAAATTTCTAAAAAATAGTTAATATAAAAAGTTACTAAAAAAAATTACTAATAAAAATTACTAAAAAATAGTTACTATAAAAAGTTACTAAAAAAATTACTAAAAAAATTACTAATAAAAATTACTAAAAAATAGTTACTATAAAAAGTTAATAAAAAATAGTTACTACAAAAAATTACTAATAAAAATTACTAAAAAATAGTTACTATAAAAAGTTACTAAAAAAATTACTAAAAAAATTACTAATAAAAATTACTAAAAAATAGTTACTATAAAAAGTTACTAAAAAATAGTTACAACAAAAAATTACTAATAAAAATTACTAAAAAATAGTTACTATAAAAAGTTACTAAAAAATTACTAAAAAAATTACTAATAAAAATTACTAAAAAATAGTTACTATAAAAAGTTACTAAAAAATAGTTACTAAAAAAATTACTAATAAAAATTACTAAAAAATAGTTACTATAAAAAGTTACTAAAAAAATTACTAAAAAATAGTTACTAATGAAAGTTACTAAAAAATAATTATTAAAAAAAAATTTATTAGACAATTTTTATTAAAAAAATGTATATTTAAAATACCTAAAAAAATTTGCAAAATTTTTGAAAAAAGAAATTCAATAACAATAGAAATTTTAATAACTTAAAATCAAAACAGAAAAAAAAATTTAATGTAAATTAAAATTTTTTAATACTTAAAAAAGAAATAGTAAATATTGTTTCCACTTTTTTCTAATTTTTTCGAAATATAAAATATATATAAAATTTTTACATATTTTTGTAGTTAATTGCGGAAAATTTCATTATTATTGTCTGTCATTTCTTGTTTTTTTTTTTTTTTTTTTTTTTTATTTTACAAGACAAGAATTGACAAACATTTTTCTATGTTCAATTGTGAAATTTAATTATATTTAAAAAAAAAATTAATTTTTTTAAATTAAAAATTTCTTTTATTACTGTATGTGTGTGTAAAAAGTGTATTTGAAATTGATCGAAGGTCATCAAGTGAAGCTGAACTTTGCGTCACAATTCCATCACACTTATGTCATTATAAATGGTAAACCGGTTTTTTTCACAGAACAATTGATTTTACAGTAAATGTCGGGTGCACAAAGTAATCCTTTATTTTAAGGAAAAACGGAAATGATCACAGTTCTAACAATGGTTGAAATTATTTTATTATTGTTATTATTATTATTATTTTTTATTATTGTCACTATATTTTTATTATTATTATTATTATTATTATTATTTTATTATTATTATATACTTCAAAATACGAATAAATAAAATCTTTCGCTTTTTTTACTATTATTTTAAAAGTAAATTAAAATAATATTATAATCATTTGAATTTGTTTTGCAAAATAATTTTTGACATATAATTTAATGACATTATTCGAACTTAAAAAAAAATTCAAAAATATAATAATAATTATCATTATAAACAAAAAAACGAATTAGTTAAATTATTATAATATTTACCTATATCATATTTAAAATATTTTGTTTATAAAAAAATTTTCGTTACAATTTAATAGATTTTTTTTACTTTTTTTATAATTGCAAATAAAAAAAAAAATTAATTTACGTAAATTTTGATTAAACATATTTCAATATCGGAGGTTTTTTGTCACTGCAAAGCATAAATTATTTTCACAACATTAGAAAAAAAGTTTATTTGATTCCAATAATCGATTATTTAACTATATTACAAAATAATTATTTATTATGTTATTATTATTATTATTTATGACACTGATTATTATCGTTATCTATAATTATAATTATTTATAAATTATTTCTATGAAATAATTATTGTTTGTTTCAAATAAATAAATTTTTTTTTTCCTCAAGTGTATATAATCGAAGAATATTTTGCATAATTTGACTTTTAATTTTCACTTGTCAAATTATATAAAATTATCACTGTAATGATTATTTAAATAATTGAAAAAAACGTGAATTAATTAAAGTTTAATTCAATTTTTAATAAAATTTTAAAAAATAGATATTTTTCCAAAATAAAGATAACATACCATTGCTCTCGTTTGGGAAACATCAGAATGATAATTGTCAGCTTTTGCGCAAAGAACAACAAAGAGAAGCAAAAGACTTCCGGCAGTTGTCGTTAAAGTCAACTCTCTTCTCGACATTGTGTGTCTTTTCTTTTATACTTTCAACTTTTTCTTCTTCTTTTTTTTTGCCCCCCTCAAGAATCACACGAAATAAAAGGGAAAAGACAGTAAAACATATATTTTTTAAAAATTATGTTTTTATTCAAAAAAGCAAAAAAAAAAAAAAATTAAAAATCCAAAATTGGATCAAATTTGAGAAACGAATTTGAATATAATTATAATCTCGACCTGAATCTCACTATAAGAACTTCCGGTCATGCATCTAACCACAGTTCAATTGTGTTATATTTACACTTGCACTCACAAAAAAAAAAAAAATTCTCAATTAACGAAAAAGTTCTGTATCTTCAACTTCCGGTATCTCTTTTTCTATTTTCCGAAACAATATTGCACTTGAATGCCTTCTTTTTTTTCTATTTGTTGTTCTTCTTAATTGCCTTTCGTTTTTTTTTGTTTTATTAAAGAAGTATTTAAAAGGTATTTAAAAAGTATTTAGAAAATATTTTTTTTTTAAACTTTTTTTTTTGTTTCTATTTTGACCCTTTCTTCAATATCTTTATCTCCTTTTCTTCGTCGAGTTCTTTTATGTCTTCTCGCTATTCTTCCTTTTCTTATTTATATATATTCGCCTTTCGTTTTACACGTTCTGGGTGTATTTTTTTTTTTTTTTTTTTTTTTTTGAAAGCTCGACCCTTCCTTGTTGCACTTCCGTTTTACCAAGTCAGACTAACATCGTTGCCACGGCACTATCGATTCCTAGTTTTCATTCCAAAGACACGAAACTAAACTTGTGTGTTAAATAGTGGAAAATTGTAAAAGAGGCACGAAATTTGCCGGCACAGCACTGCTTGTTAATGAAGGAGATAATGATTCTTTTTTTTTTTTTTTTGCTTTCGTTGAAATTAAAGGGTAGTTTCTATATAAAGGAAGATATGCGGTGTGTGTGTGTATAAGGAAGGAAGGAAGAAAGAGAAAAACGTGATCGAACGCGTGCGACTTCGGGAAAAGGTAAAACGCGCCTCTTTGTACTGACCCGGAGTCCACCGCAACTCTGACTCACAATCAGTCTGACTCTGACTTTTATCGAGGCCTCCCACCACCTATACTATACCGTACGCAGAGGACTATTTCAACTTGATCATCAAACTACCTCTTTTTTGCTTCTCATTTATATATATATATTCATACTCGGTATATCAACATATATAAATATAAAGAAGAAGTCGAAAGGACCTCCTCTTGGAGAAGAAAAGAATTTCTTTCTACCTCGTCATCAGATATAGAGATGAATCCTATATATAATAAAAACCCTTTGTTGTATCATCAAAAAAAAAAAAAAAAAATGTTTTACTATTTGTTTTTATCAATCGAATTTTTCATTTCATTTTTTTTTTTTTTTGATAATGAATTTTACTCTCGCTTTCTTTCTTCTTGGCAACTCTAATTCTTCACATCTTAATTCATAAATTTTTCTTAAATAACACTTCTTTATACATTAGAAATTTTCATCTGATTTCTAAGATTTATGATTTAAAACTAAAAAATTTATTTGGTTCAATTTTAATTCAAATTGCTTCCTCATGGAGGAAGCATTGTAATAGTGAAATTTTTCGAACTTGATTTTTTTATGTATCTTTATGTTTTTCGACCTCAGTAATCCAAAAATCATAATTTTAAAAAATGTCCTTCCGTGTGTGTGTGTGTGTGTATGTGTATATGGGGCATTCTATAGGAAATTTTCATTGAAAATTTTTTTTTGTCCGAAACATTTTTTTTCGAAATCTATATGAAAAATAAGGAAATAAGTATTTTTAGGGTTTCGTGGCCCATGGCCGAAAGCCTTATAGTTTCACTTTGGCGTCCGTCTGTCCGTAGTATATTTTGGGGCACCACAGCTCCCAAAATCAAATTTTAGGGCACAGATCCCAAATTAAAATTTTGGGGCACCACAGATCCCAAATTCAAATTTTGGGGCCCCACAGATCCCAAATTAAACTTTTGGGGCACCACAGATCCCAAATTCAAATTTTGGGGCCCCACAGATCCCAAATTCGAATTTTGGGCAAACATAGCTTCCAAATTCGAATTTTGGGGCACCACAGATCCCAAATTCAAATTTGGGGCAAACATAGCTTCCAAATTCGAATTTTGGGGCACCACAGATCCCAAATTCGAATTTTGGGGCCCCACAGATCCCAAATTAAATTTTTGGGGCACCACAGATCCCAAATTCAAATTTTGGGGCCCCACAGATCCCAAATTCGAATTTTGGGCAAACATAGCTTCCAAATTCAAATTTGGGGCAAACATAGCTTCCAAATTCGAATTTTGGGGCACCACAGATCCCAAATCTCCATTTACTGAATGGACATTTTCTCGAATGAACATTACATGTCCCATTAGTTAACATGCCCCTATAATTGACATGTCCCAGTAGTTGACCTGTCTCAGTAATTGACATGTCCCAATAGTTGACATGTCCCAATAGTTGACATGTCCATATAGTTGACATGTCCCAGTAGTTGACATTAAAATTTAAAGCGCCACGAAACCCTAGATGTAGGCGCAATTGCGCCTAGTTCTTTTCCTATTTTTTTATTTGATGAAAATCAAGGAAGTTATGATTTTTTGAAATTTTACGTCAACGAAGAAAGTGTGTTTTTGGAATATTTTTTAATCTATTGTACTAAGAAATAAAAAATTATGATATATATGAAATTTGTTCATTTTTTCTCAAATTTTTCAAATATGTGCTCAAAAATAACGTACCTATAACAGAAGCAACAAAAAAGTTGAAATTCAACTTATAAAATGAGTTTTCTCAAAGATGGACACTTTCGAGTTTTAATTTTTTTTTTTTGCATTACAATCTCTGATGATTGAAGAATTTTTTCCCCTATCTGCGAAAGTGGTATTTTTAGTTTTTAAATTACTATTTATAATTTTTTTAGTACAGCTCACAGAATTTAAGCATTTTTTCTACAAATATAACCTTTTTCCAATAACATTCATTTGTTTTTTTTTAATTTTCATAAAAACATATCCCGAGTAGAAATCGCCAAGGTATGCCTAAAATGATAATTGGCCCTAAGCTGGTCCTAACTTGGCAGAAAATGTTAATATTTCCTAATTTGGTCCTAACTTGGTCCTGCTTTTACAAGCCATTTTAGTAATATCGGAGTATTTTGGCATTAATAATTATAATTAATAATAATATTATAATAATAATATAATTATAATAATAAAATAATAATAAAATAATAAAAAAAAATATATAAATACAATAATAAAAATAATAAAAAAATAAAAATATACCATAGTTTTTTAAAAATTTTAATTAATTATTAATTAAATTTATATTAAACAAAATGAGAAGGGTTACATTTAATTTGAATTTTTTTGCCCCTACTTTTTCAACCCTAGCAGACGAAACGGTCGAAACTATAAGCAGAAGTTATTTAGAGGTTAAGTTCTTATGTAAAAAGTGCAATGTAATTCTGCTTGTTTATTGATTTATTATTATTATTATTTATTATTATTGATTACATTTTTTTATTTTTATTATATACACCCAGAAAAAAAGGATTGTTTATTTGAAAAAGTCAGTTGCTTTGATTTGTTTTGTATCATTCGAAACAAATTTCCTTTTAAACAAAAAGTTTTTCTAAAATTTACATAAAGTTTCTTTGATTGAAATAGGGTCAACTGGGGTAAATCCGAACGCTTTTAGTAAGTTTCAACAATAACATAAGTTTTTTCTTTAAAAAAAAAAATACTTCCAGTATTCTGGTGCATGAAGTTGTTACTTTACTTCCATAGAACAATTTTATGGGGTAGAAAAATTTTTGATAAATTACAATCGCAGGAAACTTAGCGTTCGTATTTACCTCAATACTTTGCAACTTTCCTAAAATATGGGGGTAAATACGAACGCCACTGTATTTCAGGAAAATCTTAGGGAAAATAAATTTAAAGTATTGCAATTGTTAAACTTATATAAAAACTCAAAAAAATACGATAATAAACCTATTATGTAATAATGCATCATATATAAATACAAAAATCAAACAGGTTAAAAATTAAAATGCATTACACAATTAAAACCTTCAATAACTTTATCAAATCATAACGGATTTTTGCAAAACTTGGTACAGAAAGTATTTTGGAGTGATTGAATGTAAATACAAAAATAAAAGTCAAATTTTTTAAATTCTAAATGGCGGACTTTCCTAAAACTTATTTTTAAAAATGATCAAATTTGCTAACCCTGAAACCCCCCGAGTAACAATTTTCGAGCGAATCCAATGAATTTTTTAATTCTCGTCCGCCATTTTGAATTTTGAAAAACTGACTTCAAATTGGTAATTAGCGACCCCAAAAACCGTAGAATACCAAATTTTATTAAGATCCTGAAAAACTTTTTTCAACAAACCATTTGGCAAAAAAATTGAAACACTCCTTCGAGAGAACAGAGATTAAGTTTCTGCTTATTAATTACTAACGAGGATACGTATAGAAAGAAAAACTTTTTTCTATGTACTTTTATAATGTTAAAATAATAGTGTAATCAAATAAAAACAATTTTGTGTGGCTTTGATGTAAAAAAAAATTATTAAAAATACCGTTCGGATTTACCCCAGTTTTCCAATTTTCTTGGGTAAATACGAACGGTCTGATATTATTAATATAATTTTACAGAAGGCAAAAATCAAATATAGTTTCTGTTCTAGTATTCATAACAAACAATTATAAATAATAAAATGAATTTTTAGCTTCTTTTTCTTCAAATACGAGACAAAATACTGAAAGAGTGTCATCTTTGATTTTCAATCTTTTTTGCAATACTCGTTATCTTTGTTTATGCTGTTGCTAATTAACAAACAAAAAATGGGATAATACTTAGAATCTCTTCAAGAGGATCTGAGGTAAAAATTCTCATATCGAACTTATTTTTAAAAATTTTAATTAAGCTGAAATAATTAGCGTTCGGATTTACCCCCCGTTCGGATTTACCCCGACTGACCCTAAGTTGAAAAATTTAAAAGAATAAAAATTTCAATCAAAGAAATTTCAATACTAATATAAAATCAAAAAAAATTTCTTTGATTAAAAAAAATTAAAATTTTTCTGAAACAAAGATAATTTTTTTCAAAGAAACTTTCTATAATTTAAAAAAAAAAGACTTTATATCGAAGAGAACTATAGTGGAAGAAACTGATTTATTTAAATCATAGGGTGCAAGCTAAACCTTTGTAAAAGTCCAGTTATATTTAATTGTTTATTTTTTTAAAAAATCTACGAATATTTGATTGTTAATACATTATTTATGTACATACATGGTAATATATATTATATATGCGTAATGAAACAAAGATTTTATAAGTAAGTTTTTGTATATATGTATGTACTAAAAGTAAGCAAATATATTAATTTCAATATAAAATACAAAATTATGTTATCAAAATTTATTAACAAATAATTAATCCTATTAAAATTATGTGAATTTTAAAAAAGCTGGTCCTATCTAGGACCTAAAAAGGACCCTTATATTATATTATATTTATAAAAAAATACGTATTTCCTTATTTTTCATATAGATTTCGAAAAAAAATGTTTCGGAGAAAAAAAATTTTCAATGAAAATTTCTTATAGAATGCCCCATATACACTACATTTTCTTAAATATCTCGAATACTATCACAGAATAAACCTAGTCTCATTTTTGTTGCAAATCAAAATGAGCCAATGCTAAACGACATAGACACTGGCGCCACCAACCTGGTTCATTTTTGTTGCACATCAAAATGAGCCGCCTAAACGGCTCATTCTGAGTTCAGTTTTTTTCTTTGTTTAAGAGCTAAAGGGATAAAATTTTTTTTAAATTGTAGATCTTACTGGCGGACAAATAATGAGAGCGACCATACTATATATACCCAAGTAGAAATGTGCCACTGGCATAGTACTGACCCAACACTGCCAGTCAGTATAACGGTACTGACTGCCGTACTGGGCCAGTAGTGGACCAACCCTGGCTGGTAACGCTGTCCAGTACTGATTTTGTCCCGCTCACCAGTACTAACGTAGTACTAGAATAATACTGGCATAATACTGGCAAAGTACTCATCCGGACTTAAAATCTCACTTTTTTACAAAATGCTAAAACACGCTTTCCAATGCAAATTTCATCCTTATTAGCTTATTACTCCCATTTTTACCACGAACAGGTAATGTGA